ACTGGGACGTTATGTTTAGAAAATAAACGTCTCAGTTTCTCTGATACCCCCTCAACATACGGAATGACCACTGGTCTGGGTCTGGGTTCCTCCTTTTCACCTGTTGGCTGACTGGAGTCCTGTTTGGGTTTCTTCTCTGCTTTCAGGAAGGCCCAGTTAGGATATCCACATTGCTCTAGAGCCTGTTTTGTGTGGGATTTCTCCTTCTGCCTGGCTCCCGAGCTAGTGGGGACGCTGTCTGCTCTGTGATACAGAGTCCTGATGACTCCTAACTTGTGCTCCAAAGGGTGATGGGAGTCAAACTGCAAATACTGGTCTGTGTGGGTGGGTTTGCGGTACACCTCGGTTTGCAAATGTCCTCTATCAGAGACTGAGGTCTTTATGATGTTGGTGTCCATGTATGAATGATTTATAATTTTCTTTAATTACATTATTTAATTATGAAAGGGAGAATTATTTATAGGCCAACAAGTGCAAACGATTTTGAAGTGTTAATCTAGTTTGAATAATATTTTTTTTCTTTTATGTAATGTTACACTGTCCTAAAAGAAACTTTGGTAAGAGTTAAAATGTCTACCACCATTTTGAAAACACATGTCTGTCTGAGTGTGTAACGTGTTGTAGAGATATCCTTACATAGAGTATCCTTCTTGTTGTTACAACTCCCAAAGAAATTCATACTGCAAGTCTGTCTAAACCATGTAAATCTTACCAGCTGGTAATTGTGAAGTTGTTTGATTAAGAAATAAAAAAGAACACACAACAGTATCACTGGAACATGTTACAATGTCACAACGTAAAAAGCGAAATTCCAGAGAAAGTCAAATGCACCAGCGAAATTTCCACGCATTTATAACATCACCTGAAAATGTCTTCCGTCATTGAGAAACAAGGAGAGACAGCAAGGCATATAAAGATAAGAGGAGATGAAAGGAAAAAGAAACTTCTTGTTAACGTGACAGGACACAGACCCACCTTCAAAAATATCCACCATGTTGAAAAAGGCCAACGACAGAGACGACTTCCCGCTGCCTGTGCGACCGCAGATTCCCACCTGACGGAGCAGCAGAAGAAGTTGTAATCAATAAGTTTCAGGTCAGCTCGCATGGCTGTGAGACAAAACACACCTGAGTGATAACAGGGTGGCAAGTACATGTGGAAAATACCAGTTTACAGGTTTTATCAAATCCAATGCAAAAGAAAGAAAAAAATCCACCTTTAGACTGGATCCTCAAACATCACATAAGCTTTTAACCTTTTTAACTGTTTTATGCCTTGAACGTGTCTTAAAAACTAATCCAGCTCCTTCCAGTTGGACTGATGTCCTTCGTGTCCGACAATCTTTATCTCAGTTGGACTGAGATCTGGGCCATTCCAGGACATTTAACGGTGTCTTCTTAAACCACTGGAGTGTATTTAAGGTTGTTGTCCCTCTGGAAGATGAACGTCTATCTAACTCTGACTAGTTTCCTTGGTGATGAAAAACCTACCCACAGCATAACGCTGCCACCACCGTGCCTCTCTATGGAGATGCTGTACTCAACATTGTTAAGAGTCAGAGTTTCCTTATTTGTCCTTCGCATCACATGTTGTACATGTGGTGGAATGAAATTGTGTACATGGGGTCCCAGTTACATCCAACAATAAAATGTAAAAGAAAAACAGTAATAAGATCTAAGATATGAACTAAGAAAAACATCAACGAAGTAATACACTAAGCACTAATAGCATAAAAACAATAAGCTGAACAGCAGCACGAACATGAGTCTGTGTGAGCAGATGAACACGCATGAACACAGCAACATGAAACAGATCAGCAGCAACATGATGTGATTTTTCACAGTGATTATTCTGATTAGAGATTCATGAGTCCTAAACACTTCAGGGTAGAAGCTGTTCCTCAGTCTAGTGGTTCTACACTTAATGCTCCTGAACCTCCTTCCTGAGGGGAGTGAGTCAAAAAGTGTGTGTGCTGGGTGAGTGGGGTCCTTCATGATGCAGGTGGCCCTCTTCCTGCATCTAAAGATCTAGATGTCTGTGATGGAGGGGAGGCTGACTCCAACAGACCTCTGTTGGTAAGTAGTTAGTAGTATAAGTGTTGTCCTGGTCCTTCTTGAAGGCCACAAAGTTCAATTTTGGCCTCATTTGATTGCAGAACATTCTTCTACATATTTGGAGCATCTCCTTTTAGCAAATTTCAAAGGATCTGCCCTTTATTTTCTTAAAGTATTGGCTTCTTCCTGACCTCTCTTGTATGTAGCTCAGCTCTGTGCAGCTTAAATAGTCCTTTGGATGCTCTGCAAAAGAGCTGCCCAGCTCCATCAGCTTTATCTTTGGCCTCTTGGCAAGCTGGTGTTTTGTGCATAAACCCCCTTTCCCCTCGGTCCTGCTTGCGGGTGTTCAGTCTCTGAGGAATAGACTGGATGACCTGCGCGGGACACGAGGAGCTGTTGTGTCTTTGCCTTTAACGAATCATATCACCTAATATGTTTATTGCTGCTGCACCATGTGGCTGTATCATGTGTGTTGCTGCCTTGCCATCGTGGTTCATTTTATCTCAATGTTGCTCACTGCCTGTACAGTGATCTGTCACACAACCTGTGTGGTGTATGTTGTGTGCAACATGTATCATGTGCATTTAAGCAGCATCACTACCTGTGAGGTACTTGTTTGTACTGATTCATTCTACTTGCACCATTGAATTTTACCATAGACCATGTAGATGTTTTATTTCTTTTTCATATATTGGTGCTTTGTTTTGTACTTTTGTTGCATGCTTTGGTGTTTCTTGGTTGTTTTGGGCGAGACGAGACAGTTCTTCTCATCCTGAGCATTTCATTGCACGCTCATCTCGACTAGCATATGACAAATAAACAACAAACTAAACTTATTGTGCACTATAGGTGGTGAAATGAGTTGTAATGAAGACTGGAAAAAGCTTTTAGGATTCTTGTTAATCCACAACAAAAAATCCTTTGCAGCAAATTTCATCAATCCTTTATCTCAGAGAATAAAAGCAAAATAATTAAGAGGATTTCAATAGTTTTTGAAGACGTTGTTATTTCCAGCGGACTTCTCCAGGGTTTTATTTGCCTTCTGACCAAAGCTACACATCACCAGTTCTAGTTGCAATGCAATCATTTCAACAAAGTGTGATTTACCACTTGCTGTCCAATGTAGCTGCTGCCTGCTAAAGGAACAAAAACAGCAACTTCAACCTTAAATGACGCATTACAAGCGATTAGAAAGCAGATGAATGGATGTCACACAGATGCTCTGATCAACATCAACTGTGAATCACAGCTGGAATCTTTATATGTAGTCATTATTTTACTACTGCCTTTAAGGATGTTGTGTTTTAGAAACAAAAAAGCATTTATTGAGGTCAGGATGACAGTTCATGCCCCCTGTTTGTCTCTCCTCACAGCACCACGTTAATTACCTTCTGGCCCGGTTTGATGGAGGCGTTGACGTGTTTCAGCACCGCTTTGAGCGAGGAATCGTAGCGCACACACAGGTCCTGGATCTTTATCTCACCGTCCTGAGGCCAGTTCTCAGGGACCTGAGAGGAGTCTGAAAGGAGAGGGACAAACACAGACGGGGTTGATCTCTCTCTGATTCTAACTCAACGGAAGGTTTTCTGTAAGTGCAGCGAGAAGTACGTCACAAACGGCTGCTAAATATGTCTTTGATGAGCTTTTACCAACGTTCAACAAAACAGTGTAACGTGTAAATCTACGACACAATACTGCATCAACTAGAACATTTCTGAACAAATAATGAAGGATGCCGGTGCAGCTACTGCCCGAAACTCAACGTTTTTCTCTGAAACCCAATAGACGTTTGTAACTTTTTCTTGCAGTAATCCAAGCAGACAAACTGTTGATGTTTTGATGTAGAAATTATACAAAATTGTAAAGAGGACTTAAAAAAAAAGTTAAAGCTGGCTCATTAGAGTCACCATGGTAACACCAGATGATGCGTTTGAAATTATTTTTAGCGATCATACTGGGAGGTTGTTGTTTTTAGAAGACTCAAAAATAAAAGTTCCTGATATACTGGACATAAACGCCAAATGTGTTGATGTGTATTAAGTCTTACGTACGAGAACATAAAATGATAAAGATGCATTTTTTTCTAAAGAGCTGTTAGAATAAGATCTCAGTATCAGTAAATGCCTCATTTTTATTGACTTGAATCCATCACGGATAAAAAAAAAAAAATGTAATCAGGACATTTATAGTTGCCAAAAAATAGACGCAAAAAATACATTGCTATTGTTTAGCTAATAAAAGTTATTTTGATCTCTGGGCACAACAATTATCAAATCTTTTTGGTTTATCATCTTCCAACAGGAACACAGTTAAGTTAAATGCGATGCAGATCTGAGCTCTGACTTTTAAGGTAAAAGGAGCACAGCCGATGATAAACAGCAGGAGTTACCCATAGATCCATCGTAGTTCTCTGAGCCAGTGCCGAGGAAGGTGTTGACCTTCTCCACAGCTGCCATCTGGACCTCCAGGTCTGCCAAGTTTCTCACAACCCAGTTTAAGTAGTTAGTGAGCTGCAAAGGGACAAACAAAAACACTGGACCTTGTTAATATTAAAATAATGTTTGATTATAAATTGTAGGAAGTAACATAATATGGGTTGGTTCATATAATGTTTAATCATGAATTGTGGGAATATAATAATGTTTGATTATAAATTGTGAAAATAACAACATGATTTGGTTGGTATAATGTTTAATTATGAATTGGGGAAATAGAAATGTCTTAATTGGCAGCATGGTGGCGCAACTGGTAGAGCTGCTGCCTCTCAGCGAGCAGGTCCTTGGTTCAAACCCCGGTCCAGGGGCCTTTCTGGGTGGAGTTTGCATGTTCTCTCCGTGCCTTTCTGGGTGGAGTTTGCATGTTCTCTCCGTGCATGCGTGGGTTTTCTCCAGGTGCTCCGGTTTCCTCCCACAGACCAAAAACATGCATGTTAGGCTGATTGGTAACTCTAAATTGTCCCTAGGTGTGAGTGAGAGTGAATGGTTGTTTGTCTCGTTTGTCTCTATGTGGCCCTGTGATGGACTGGAGACCCATCCAGGGTGTACCCCGCCTCTCACACAGTGATTGCTGGACATGGGCACCGGCGACCCCCGTGACCCAAAATGGAATACGCGGGTAAAGATAATGGATGGATGGATGGAAATGTCTTGATTACAAAATAACTGGGTCACACTAGAAATAACAGCTAAAGGAGTATGTCTGGAACTGATTGGATAGAATGGGAAATGGGAGGGCCTTCAGAGAGTCTGTAAAGGTGTTAGATTGGATAGAAATTGAAAACAGGAAGTGTCACTAAGAGATGTGGGGATTATTGAGTGGTAATTCAGGACGGAGAAAATGTAGTCTATATTATTCTTTGTTGAAATCAGGTCTCTCTAGATAGTAAAAAATGACTCAGCATTGACTGAAACTTTAAGCTACTGGTGTAGTAAAAAATAAAGATCCCAGAAGACTCACAGTAAGAGCATATGTGAGACCGAGGCCCACCAAACCGCTTTTACTATACGGTAAAGTCCATATTGACGCTACAGCTGCTGTCAGCACAATCACAGCTCCGAGATAGTCCTGCAGACCAACAGAACAAAGTAGAGTTTTACAATTAGATTTCAAAAGCAAACCACGGTTTGGGTTTTGATGACAGATGTCCCCAGCTGTATGGAGATGTTCCTCACCGTTCGGACCTCCAGCCAGCGGTTAGCCGCAGACAGAAACAGGTAGGCTGTGTTATTGGTATCGGTCAGCTCCAACATCCGCTGTTTAAATCGTGCCTCGTGTCTGAAACACATGTGTTATCAAACATTAGAGGCCAAAATCTGGACATGTTGCAAACAGGTATGGGGTGCGGTTTGTAAAGTTACACAGTCAAAAATTAACAGCAATATTTTGGTTTATTAGCCTTTAATAGTTTCTTTTTCCCAAAGTCATATTTTCACTATGTTATTCTTACATTTATAAATGTTAAATTTCCAAGCTAAATATTTAGTTTACAAACTAAATATTACCTTGCAAGTTAAATATTTAGTTAGCAAGCTAAAAATTTAGCTCCACACTAAATATTTAGTTTAAAACCTAAATGTTTATGTCCAAGATAAATGTTTAATTTACAAACATTTAACTTGCAAGTTAAATATTTAGTTAGTGAACTAAATATTTAGGTGTAAATTAAATATGTAATTTCCAAGCCATTTTTTTCAAAACTAAACATTTAATTTCCAAACTAAATATTTATTGTCCAAGCTAAATATTTAATTTCCAAACTAAACATTTATTTTCTAAGCTAAACATTTAATTCATAAACTACATATTTAATTTGCTAACTAAATATTTAGCTCAGACCTAAATATTTATTTTCCAAACTAAACATTTAATTTCCAAAATAAATATTTAATGTGCTAACTAAACATTTAGGTTGGACATAAAAATTTAACTTGCTAGCTAAATATTTAGCTTGCAAGTTAAATATTTAGTTTGAAAATTAAACATTTAGCTTGGACATAAACTTTTAGTTTGTAAACTAAATATATAGTGTTGAGCTAAATATTTAGCTTGCTAACTAAATATTTAACTTGCAAGTTAAGTATTTAGTTTGTAAACTAAATATTGAGCTTGCAAAACAAATATTTAATTTGGAACTATGACATTTATAAATGTATGAATAACAGTGAAAATATGACTGAAAAAAAAAAATAAATAAACCAAAACATTGCTGTTAATTTTTGACTGTGTAACTTTACAAATAGCATCCCATAAACAGGAAGCACAAGCACAAACAAAAGCATCTTTAAAAAAAAAAAAAGTTTTGATGTGTTTTAGCTTTATCTGAAGTTTTCTGCCTCAAAAACCAGATGGGTTTCGAGGGTAATGATAATGGGAACTATCTCCTGATTTACTGCATGTGTGTTCCTGATATTTACTTGTGTGCGAGTGTTTTTCCTCCTCTCTTCCCCAAGGACCCCCCTCCTCCTCCCCACTCAAATCGTGAGAGCTGTTTAAAGTTGAATTACAGCGACGATGGGAAAGAGAGTGACGACAGAAATACAAGACATGACTTCTGCTGATTCGTCCAGTAATTGCAATGACTACAAGAAGAGCTGGAGTTAGACTTATTATTGCTACTAGCTCCATAATCAGCATTGGTTGTCACATTGAAAACATTTATCACCTGAATATGCTTTCAGCTGCTTGTTAGTGCTGGTGTACCTGAATGCTCTGATGGTGGTCAAACCTTCTGCAGTCTCAGAGAAGTGGCAGAGCAAAGGCAGCTGTGTGGAGTCATCAAGGTCTTGGAGGTCCCTGAGAAGGGAAGAAATGTACTTTTATAAACAAAGAGACACACATTACAGGCTGTTGAAAGGCCTGCTGAAGATTTTCTATAAACTTTAGCTGCTTTTTCAGTGAGAAGCCTGATAATTTAGGAGGAAAGAGGTGTTTGTCTTCCAACTCTTAACTCTGACTAATGAATTACTCAGGCATACTGTATAAATGTTCCTAAACCCAAGAGATGAACAAGTGCTGTGTCCTCACATTCCAGATAACAGCTATTTTTAAAGGGATATTTTAGGATTAAACATATTAACAGTGTATTAGAGCCACTCGGAAAAAAGATGAGAAAGAAGATGTTTTTTTTTTAAGTAAAATGTACATTTTATTGACAGGAAAAAGACGCAACGTTGAAAAAAACCTTATCTTTCAAGACTTAAGCCAGAAGAACCTTCCAGTGCTCTTAAACCCAACATGTTTCATTTTTATCATTACTGTACTGTATCTGAGGGTAATGGGTGCACTTTGGGTTGACCTCAAAGTAGTATTTTAAACCAAAGCAGTCCTAGATGTGGTATATTACTCCCACAGCTCCAAAACTTATTTTAATCCTTCACAATAATAGTCTCAAACACAATCAATGCTGAATGACTCTGATGCCATAGAAAGTCATGTCTACAAAACTGGTCCTGTAAAGACCTGATACAGGACCTGAGCAATGCTTCATTCTTCAGCTGATCGACTGTATGTCAAGTTCAAGACCCACAGAGGTAGAGTCAATTAGATCTTATCTAACGGCTGCATGTTTAAAATTTCACTTTTCTAACAAGTTTAGGAGTAATTAGTCATTCCACGCTTTAAAGAAAGCTCATGTAAAAGTGACTGTGTGTGGAGGGCAGTAGGCGGGACTTAAGAGTGCCACATCACTAGTGAGCAGACTCTGGTTACAAAAATACAGCATGGCAGCTTCCTTAAACTGTTGACTTCAGCAGGAGAATATGGGAAGACTTGGTCCATAATAGAGGAAAAACAGTCTGGTGCAGTCATGCTTCAAGCCTTGTAAGTGAACCCCCCACCCCTCTACTGCTCCCTCAGTTACTACAGCATCCTGCTGAAACCCCTGCTCCACACTCGAACTTTGTTCAAAGGTGCATATACTGTATTAGTGTGAGAAACTTTTCTTTGTGATGGAAAATTAAACATCACAAAGGAATCCCACTCTAATGTAGACTTTGGTTAGACCTGGAACAACTCAGTGGTTTGACCTGATATCAGAGCTACATAAGTGCTACTTCAACTTGTGTGTTGTCTACTTTATATATGTATGTATTTATTTCCTTCTATAAATTCAAGATGGGATATTTAGAGCTCCAACATTTTTCATTCAGGTCATCTGAACAGTTGAAACATTTCACCTTCCATCCGGAAGGCTTCTTCAGTCAAGGAAACACACAACACAAAACTGATTCTTCCCCCCCAACAGCTTACTCCCAAGTGGAACAAACCAGTTATGTTGGTGCTAAGATGGTGTCTTTGGCACGCTCCCTCCTCCGGTGCCGACCCTCTTCCTCATCGACAGTCATGTCAAACTGGTTTGACAGTTTGACATGGCTGAAAAGGAAAAGCGGCTGCGAAGGACTACTGGCACCAACTTTCTGTTTGAAAACAACATCTCGTTGGTTTTATCAGCCTTTAGCACAAGTTTGAGATGGAACAAATCTGACTGAATGGTTTAGAATGCAGACTGTAGCATCTGGAAAACCTTAACAACTGTTTAAGCTCAACAATAAACAACTGTATCGTCGGCATTGAGATGCAAGGAGGCATCAGGAATGTTCTGACCTACATTACTTATATAAATTGTAAAGAGAGTGGGTCCTAAGACTGAGCCTTGTGGTACACCATTATTGACAGCTAAATAAGTAGAAGAAATACATTGTGTTGAACACATTGTTTTCGGCTTGAGAGATAATAAAAAAAAACATCTGATAGTGTGGTCTGAGAAACCAATATCTGAGAGCTTATGCATACATTGGCATGATCTACAGTATAAAAAGCTTAGGACAGGTCTAAGTAATGGGTAGCACAGTAATCCTTAGCATCCAATGCTTCAACAACGTCATTAAAAACCTTTAGCGAAGCAGTCACTGTGCTATGTTGCTTCCTGAAGCCAAACTGGGGAGAAGATTAAAATATGAAAACAATAATACGATAATGGCAGCGGTAGGTCCTCTTTTTTTTCCCCATCAATATTACCCTCTGCTTGGACCAAGCTTTTAATATTGTGTTCTTGTAAAAATGAGTTGAACACCTTCTAATCCACATTATCCTACATGTGCAGCTAATAGCTGTTCGGGAATCACAGTGGCGGAGCTAAAATCCTAATTCCTGCCTGTTAAACTGTTGTCTTTGTGATACGTTTAAGGTAAATTAAAGAAATGGAAACAAAATGTGTGTTTTCTTTTATTTTGACAAGCTGTTTGAAACAAAATATATCAAATAATATGGTGTATTATGGGATGTTATACAATTATATTATTCTATAAGATGCTCCTCACTGCATCCAGATAACTTCCCAATCAGTATAAACACAAATGCAAAAAAGTATTTATTGTTTTTGCAAACCCCTTGCTGTGCACTCACTTGGAAGCGACTCTGAAATACTTCTGAATGAAGTAGAAGGCCACCGACAGGGGAACCAAGGCGATGAGAAACGCTGGCGTGATTGAAGCTATGACCCCGATGGCAGTCAAACAAAGAAGTGTCGATCTGGTCAAAGACTCCAGCGTTGGAGGAATGTGCTAAAAGAAAACCAGTTGACAAATTTAGAAAGAAAACATCAACTAAAACACAATTAATTTGATAAAACATTTATTTTATGGCAGTTTGTTATTTAAATAAATAAATTGCATTTTACTTTATTAGTATGGCCTAATTTTTTTATTAAATTTTTTTAATTTTATTTTTATTTTTATATTTATTCTAGGGCAGTATTGTTGTGAAAACCCTCCAGCCCACCAGGCCCTTCAGCAGCTTAAACTGAGGCCTTGTTTATTGTTTACTATTTATTATTGCATATTTAAATTTAAATTAATTTAAATTAATTAAAAAAAAAATCATTTTATAAAATTTACTTTTTATTCTTGTTCTACCATCTTTCGCCAAGAGTAT